TCATTTAAAGCTTTGTAGTCTTTTATATATTTCCTATTACTTTTAATTTGACAAATCAATTAGTAATCAACTTTAAAACTACTTGGCTTTAGGCGATCTTTATATATGTATAATTACTATATATGTACTACAAAATGAAAGTTCAAGAATTTAGATTTTTTTTAAATACACATTTAATTTTAATATTTATAATTATTTTAAATTTATATTTTAACAGAATTACCATAGAAAAAGTATCAAATATTGCAAAATTGCATACATATTATATAACCAATGCTCAAAATGAGCTTAATTATATTAATCATGCAATTCCTGAATCAGAATTTGAACAAGTTATGGAAAATTATGCAAATATGGTTGAGTTCGATGATGATATGTTCAATGATAATATTGAAGATGAAGAGCTTGATGCTGATTATGTTTCTGATACTGAGAACTTAGTTGATCTTTTACAATTTGATAGTGAAAATTTAGAGATCGAAGAAATGTTGGATGTTAATACATTTTTGGATGAAAAAACAAATGAAATGATTTCTAATAATTTGGAGCCTAAAGATGATGAATACAATTATGATATTGATGAAATTATTAATGCATCTATGAGTAAGGATGCATAAATTTTTTTTTACTTTTAGCTATTATTTGTTATTGCGATAGAACATTATATATATTTTTTATATTCACTTATCTTGTATCTTCATTTATTATATATAAATAATATACGGTATATGAACATTGTTTTACCGTTATAACTAAAATATGATAATACCTTAACTTACTATCAAAGTGAATTTATAAAAACTAAAATTTGGTTACTTAATTTGAACAATTATTGAAATAATGCCACAGTATGTGGAAGTAAATTTTTAATGAAACTCTGCAGTAATCTCCTAATTAAGAACTCACATTAATTGCTATTTAAATAATACCATTTCTATATATCGTTTTACTTTCATTATTGCAGTCAGCATAAGCGATGGGCAACAAACTAGTCAATTCTTAAAATTATTTAACTTAAATATCAGTTTCAGTATTCTGAAATTATTAAATTTAAGAATATTCGATTTTCATTTTTCGGAATGGCGAAAATATTTTAGGTATATTAAAATATTTTAGACATATTAAAATATTTTAGACATACTAAAATATATTCAGCAGTCTGAATGATTTTTGACAACCTAAATTATTTACGATTTAGGCAATCTAAAAGAATTTAGCCATTTAAATTTACGCCACTGCCAAAATAATTTAGGCACCCATCTATA